CCATCCCTATTTATGAATAACAGGGGAAGGGTAGACTTGTCACATTCAAAATAGAGATATGGAATAACAAACATTGGTCCACATGATTTAGGTTCTCCCTTGAAATAGTCAATAATTTAAAAAAGTAGAATATAACCAACAAGGGCATGTGATAGGATGTGGTACTGCAAAAGAGCAAAGTAAAGAAAGAAAAACCTATTGTGTTTAGTTTTGATAAATTCTAATTAAAATGTACCATTACACTCAGAGGATCAATATGAAATCATAAAATATGCAACTTCTGTATGAAGCACATGACTGATAACTGTTCTGTCCTGAGCTTTTTGTTTCCTATAGCACCCGCTTGACCACACCACCACGCCTAAGGAGGGTAATTGCAAATATTTGAGGGAGGAATATCACCAAAAGTGGGAAAGGTAAGCCCCGATGGGGGCTTTTACTAAACTAAGGGGTTATCATTAATTTCATACACACATGCAAATGTGCTCATAATGAGTTGGCACTCAGTCTTTAGAAGGTCATAAGCTTCGTTCGGCGATGAGTTGGCACTCAGTCTTTAGAAGGTCATAAGCTTCATTCGGCGTGATGTCCGGACTGATATATCGTAGATATTGACTTTGAGTGCAGAGGATGCAAACATGCTTACACACATAGATTGTGGTTAGAATAAGTCTCTGGGTCAGAGAGTCCTGAACATGATATTCAAAACCAAATTTGCATCACTAGAAGAACAATGGATAACAACATTAGATTATCAAGGCTAGGGAGAGAGGTGTTTTGGTTTTCTGCCTTACAAAGAAAGGAAGTAGACACCAGACGAGGGCACGGAGATACGAGGATCCTTTGCAGCAGAGACAGACACAGAGACTGCCAAGACAGCAACTGGGAGGATGGATCCCATAAACATAGCAATAACCATGAAGGGGTTGGCAGAAATCCGGGAACACCAGACCAACGAGGTTCGAGAGGCTCTTGGAAAAAAGGGGGACACGGCTGTGACCCCAGAATACACAGATCGTTGTTTGAAAATTGGCGCAGAATAATCCCCTGATCTGTGCAACGACTGAAGGGTGGTCTAACCCCTGAGGTCGAAGAAAGAAGAGGAGCAGAGAATATCTCGACTGGAAGACACTGGTAGCTGCAGCAATAAAATAAAGGTTAAAAGCTCCTTAGACAGAGGTTCTAGTCTGAGTACGTTTGAAAGGTACAAGGTAGCACCAGGATGAGGTTGGGAAAATGGGAGCACCAAAATAAAGCTGTGGGAGAACTGGAGAGTGATGGGAGTGTCATCTGTAACTACTGTTGTTCTTGTTGTAATCATAGTTTTTCTTGCATCTGAACTGCGCAAACACAGAGGTCATCTCATATATGCTCCACCCGTTAAAGGGGGGCAGAGGGCCTTAGGGGTAAGAAGAAATGAACCCTGCAACACTGGATTGCAAGGTGTAAGTGATCTCTTTAAAAAGAGATCAAAGGGGGAATTGTGAGATTATTATATTATCTTATGCCACGTTAGACCCCTAATTAAAGATTGTGAAATCATTATGTAGTTTTAGTTTGCATTATTCTCCTGACTTAGAAGAAGGTGATAACTATTACACTTATTAAACTGATTTGTATTACATTAGACTGCTGATTTATTGTGAATGAATGATATTGTTTTATGATGCATTATACTGCTGAGGTATAAGAAATACTGTTTTCAGAGAGTCATCACCTTATTTGTCTGATTAGAAAAAAACAGAACAAACTGCACAGGAAGCCAAGGTCATAACTTAGGCTCACTGAGAGAGAGAAAGAATGTGAATGTTTAGGTTTTATGACTAGGTGGAGGAGGGGTGGCTGAAGCTATAAGAATGTGAGGAACACTCAGACACTTCGAGATCAGGCGGACACCCTCCCGCACTCATCTCCCCTCCGGATGGTTTATGCTCATAAAGTGTTGAATTGTATGGAATAAAAGATTGTTGATTGAGCCTTTATACACCGAGTGTTGTCCTTCCTTCAGCCCAAAGATCAAAAGAATTGGTAGTTGGTAGTTGGTCCAGCAATGCATCTGGACCAACTACATAGACCTACTACCACCACTGGAATATCATAGCGCTTGGTAGGCTTAATTACTCATGTAAATTAGCTGGCAGAATTTTATATTTCCATGGTATAATATTGCAGTTGATTCATTTTAAATTTGCATTTTATAATTGTCAAAGTAGTAATTCTGATTCAGTATACATTTTTAACTTCTTGCAGCTCTAGCATGAGCAGTGTCACATCAGCACCAACAACATTAATCCCACTCACGTGCTCGCCTAAAATACAAATCTCTAGCTAATCTGTCACAGTTTAATTACTTTGAATTGCCCATCTTTTGTTACAGAACTATGCTTATTGGCATAATATTTGCTGTGTTCTAGGATGGTTACCAAGCAAACCAGGCATCAAATTTCCAACGTTTCAAAATGTTAACTCCCTGAAAACATCTGTTACTGAAGCAACATCTTGTCATGGTCAGGGTGAGTGCAGTGTTTTTCCATAGAGCTGGGGCTCCACCTCAGGCCAGAGTCTCCATTAAGCCATCTCACCTGTCTGCAATCAAGCTACCCATATTTAAGACCAGCATACTCAGAAGTTTTCCACCAGATCTAAAGCTAACCAGTGTTAGTGTTAGGCTGCCAAGCTCACTTGTGATTTCCTCAGTATTCTCACTTATTGTGTTTTTGCTTTTCTAGTAACCTGGCTGGTCATCACGTTGCTTTTTTGAACAATACTCAGCTTCATTTTGGACGCCGGTCTTCCTCCAATCACACAGTCTGGTTACACTCACTTCCCCGCTGCACTCCTGCCTACCTCCCTGCCACAGCTTCTGGAACAGTACATTTTGGGTTCACTCAGGACTGAAACCTTACTCAAACCTTTGGACTGCCCTCCTTCCACACCGTACCTCACCTGCAACGTGTACTTACCGTTAATCATTGGAACCTAGCAGACTCCCCGTTTACTCTAGTGACTCTGCACTTCTCCGCCCGTGCCACAGCCCCTTCTTCCCCCATTGGATCACTTTCATGGACTTTTGAATTTAACATTTGTTCACAAATTACGCTTCTCGTTTCTGGTTTAGTCTCATAGTTCACAGTTCATCGTTGATACCTTAAAACTACAGTCATAGTTTACAGTTTATAGGTGTCACCTTAAAGTCTTGTCTCACTTTGTAAATAAAGCACTGTTTTCACATCTACTTGTGCCTCAGTCTGTGTCTGCTCTTTAAGTCCTTGCACCTAGTCTGACCTCTCAGTCATGACATGTCTATCCTTTCCAACTTTCTAAGAGTTACTGCAAGACTATAATATCTGTGTCAAGTGACAATAATTTGGATCAGACAGTGTTCAAGATAAAAACTGAAAATCCAAATGATAGAGAAGTGATGCTGAGGCAACGTCTGTGTTCTAAAAACATAGTGGTTCAAAGACAGCATGTAAGAGAGTCACTGTGGAGGGTGTTCTATCTGCAGAAAATCTGCAATAGTGAGTTTATTCTGTGCCTCATCCAAATTTCATATTGCATGTAGATGGACATCACAAGCTGATTTGTTGAATGTTTGCTGTTCACGGTACATGGCTATAGTATGTTTCTTCAGTGCTCCAACAATAATCAAGCTGAAACCATTTACTGCAATTGTTGGAAAATTTGGCAGACCCCTGCACATCAGGACTGATCATAGAGGAGAGAACCCTCAGATATGGAAGAACGTGTGAGCAAGCAGGGGTGAAGGCTCGGTCTTAATAGGAAGTTCTGTGCACAACTCGGATCAATCATTTTAACCGACACTTAAACAGCAACTGCAGCCATATTTATGC